AGGGCAAATGTAATTAGTAATGACAGGAGAGAACGAAGTAGTGTTCAATTAAAAGGAAACCTTAAATATTTTCGAAATCGATTCCTGTTAGTATGAAATGAAAAACTGGGAATTTGATGCATTTCTGCCGCACGGAATTGTCGAGAACCGGATACAATATGGTATTTAATAAAGTGTAATGGAATGTCTATTCTATTTGAGACCTGATAAATGCCTCCAGAGAGTAAACAAATTAATAGGATTTATGTTTGTGCATAAATATCCACAGTCAAATTGTGGAATGTAGAATTATTTTCCTTTTCAACCATGAATTACGTATTACCCTGTATTGCAGCGTCATTTATAAACTTAGAGGGATATTAGAGTCAGTCTTTATTCAGCAGCTTTCGAGTATGTCTGCCATGGCCGCGAAATTGATGGCGGCTTTCCTCGTTTTTCGCCTCGAGGACGTAGAGCAACGCAAAAGTGCATCGGGATGGTCGCGTGCTGAAAATATTGTCGATCGCGGAGGATTCTTCTTTTCAACACGAAACATATTTTCACAGGCATGTCCGCGTTTTTCGCTATACGCGAATGCACAATGCTGGGTAAACGATGCATCCGGGGAAAACGTATTGTTATTTTGTTGGATTCGTGACAGTCGAACGTTGTTTCAATGCTGTTTTTTTTTTTATGTATGAGGAATTCACGACGACGAGGAATTTTTTTATTAAATGCACCGAGTTACGGTATTCTAAAATATAACATGTGTACTATGTACATATATTGAAAATAGGTTGAAGTAAACTGATGTTAGGAGTTCAAGGTTCACGTTGAAACGTCATGAACATATGTAGATATGTACAATTTATAGGAGTTCACATTACAAATACACCATGAGATATTATAACAACGCATTTGTATCAATTAATCGGGAGTGAACACAACTATTATATTTTATTTCATTACAGAGATATTAAACCGTGGTATTCATTTATTCAAGATCACCCTGTGCTCAAATCTTCCTCATACAATCTTATCACAGGCTCGGGAAGAAATCTGATAATCGACTATGGATCGATACTGTCACCTTGCCATGATACCATCACAGGTATTATTTATTTCCCCGTTATCGTCCATTCATCTTGCATCACTAATCGACCGATTACGAATATCTGACCTTCTTCCATCGATGATCCGCGAGGCAACAAGCAATAAAGATTTCGAGGATCGAAGTCTCCGTCAACTCGACTCTATGCAATTTAAAACCAACCCTCTGAATAAAAACAAATCAAATATACTTCTCCCTTTCGTGCACACACCATGAAAGGACAAAGTCACTGAACGAGCTAAAGGGTGCATAAAAAAATGCGTTTCAGAAGTGTTTTGACGATTCGAAAAAATCTTGGCACGTCTCATATCTGAAGGCGACTATTTTCCAGAGATCCATATTAATCTTGATGAATGAACAAATATTTTTTTGAAGTAAATAAAATATCTAGAAACTTTTTCATCAAGCCTCGTATACAAATAATAGAGTATTCTCAGCTAGGTAAAAAACAGCGACGCGCCTACCACCAACACGGTGTCGAACTTCATCGAAGCAGAAACGATCTCCCGCATGTCTCGGGGGTGTTTTATCGCGTCGCCGGCAATAAGGTTTTCGCGTAGAAGAACCCGTCCCACGGTATATCGGAGGCGACGGTCGGAAGAAGGACGAACACGGGGTCCTCCGGTAAAAGGGGGAAGGGGAGGGGGACAGACGACCCGAGACGACGGTGGATCGTGGAAGGAAGAAGACGAGGACGCGATAGAGGGCCGGGCTGGGAATCCAATCGCAATAGAGTTAAGTGTTCCAGAGAAAAACCTAACGGAGGCACGACCTCGATTACTCGCGGAGGATTTGTTACAGCCACCTAACTTCCGTCGCGTTCCATGTCCCCCCTTAACCCATAGACACCGGCACAGTGTCGTCCCGTGGACGTTCCATCGTTTCGATTCCCCGTGAAAGCCGACCCGAGGGCAGCTTTGTCACTTTCCGCGGACCCCCGTTTTTTAAACCGCGTTCTTTGGCCCATCGACCGGAAAAGGTTTCCAATTGGCCGTCGCGTTCTCCACCGACTCTCGTCGTTTAATTACGCTTGATAGAACAGATTTCAGTTTTTTTTTTTTTAACCGTCCCTTCGGCGAACGAATTTGTCGATCACCTTCTCTACGAAGGTGTACCACAAGAAAAACAGTGGTCGACAAATTCGTCCGGGGAATGAATGACCCCATGTAGGTGATTTGTTAACAGATATAGATAAATAAGAGAGTCTCGACGGTGTTCTTTCTTTATTAGAATATTCGGTAATCTTATTTACACCGACGATCGATACCGTTTCGGTGAGACAAGATTGATAGGAATTGCGTAATCGAAATTTTTCGACCAAATTTATCGTTTCTTACCGAATGGTCAGGGACAATGGGCTTCGGTAAGGACGTGGTACGTGATGTTTCTTGATGTCTGGTTGATCGAATTTGGTGGTTATCGGTTGAACGAATAGATAAGTTGCACCGGATATTAATATTTCGGTACACTACCCGGCAAAAGTATGGGACTAGGTTTGATAATTAAAACAACAGGGTAATATTGTTTTACGAAGATTTGATGAAAGTAACGTGCTATTCGATATTTTCTGAAAATATCGCAGACGCATTGAAGTCTCTTCAAACGGGACATTTTTATCGGCTAAAGTACCAACAAGAATGTTAGTTGGATTAAAATAAGCATAGAAAATTGTGAGATCTTCGATGCGAAAACGGGTATTGGAATCTCTAAGCAGTGGCCAGTCTTCAGAACTGGGAAACAGATTTTCCTAGTTGCTTCTTATTTCCTCGTGAAAATCCTCGAGGCCGTTACGCCCGGTAACGATGAGCCCGGTACGAAGGGCTGTTACCGCCACGTGCCGCCATAATATCGGGGCAAAAGTTTGCCTGGCCAGCGGGAGAAAATAATTTAATACGACCTGCCGTTGGAACTTGAACGCAGGTGGAACGACGGAGCAATTGCCGGCCCTTCGAAGACCAATTACGATGTCGTTCGTGTGGTTCGCGGGGAATTAAGCGTCGCACAGATATTCGATGTGTACGGTTATTGTCAACATAGAAATCGCTAAAAAAATTTGTTGTTCAACGTGAAAACAGCTTTGTTGATCTAGGAAATTGTTTCCACTTACGAATTAATCGTTTTCGTCGATATGAGTTCTCCATGAAACTTTTGCGCTTAAATGGACGCATATAAAGTGAAAGAAAAATTTGTTAAATTAACGTTAACGTTGGTTTCGTATAAAAAAATGGCACGAAGAATACCGATATTTATGGCTTTGAATATGTGGCAAACCCACTAAAGATTGTTCGATAACGATATACTTATGCGCCAAGTAAATAAGTGGGACAATATGGTAGGTAACAATGATAATTCTGTAATCGATTGAAAATTTGCATGTTCTCAATTAAAATTCTAAAAACACTGAAAACAGCCGGATATCCATTCGTCGTCATAAATAAAATTTCCCTTTCCATTTTTCTTTCATTTCGCTCGTACAGAAATCGCACACATAAGTTTTGTTCTAGCAAGCGTCCCTTAACCGTAAAAAGAATTATGCAAATATTTATTATTCGAAAATTATTAATACGAAATCCGGGACCATTCTCGTTTCGCTCGGCCATCAAATATTTAACTTGGGCATTTTCAAAGTTCCGAAATAGAGGGAGCAGCAGGTTTGTTTGTTAGCCGGTGCCCAGAGAGGAAAGATTATACGCGACGGACATGAAAGGGCGCAGAAGTGGATAAATCTTTTTGTTCGTTCGTCGACGAGAAACTGGGCTGCACGAGTGGCGTAATATCATTTAGAATTTATATCACGGAGTTCATCCTTTGGCGTTCGCTGCCTTCCGTTGTCGTCTCTCTGGTCGTCCACCAGCGACATCCCTCTCTTTCTCTATATGCCTTGCGAGCCGATGCCATGGGAGCCGATGTGAATGAAAGAAGCGGAAGGGCCGTGAAATTGCGTTAAATCTTCGCGCGAAATGGCACTCCGTTGAAATTGTAACTGAAAAAAAAAAAGAACGCGGAGCTTTCGTGCCTACACTGAACGACTCGTTCACCACAATTCATCAGGAATGTCTCGTTGTCAGTACAATCTGTACATCATTATCTATTCCACGATCGCACCGCGGTTATTCTAAAATATATCTAAACTTGGTATTTTCCCCGTGTTATCTGGTCTCCGCGTAACTTGTTTACGTTATGGTCAATCGCGTGGGGACCGTCGAACCTTTAATAATACCATTAATCTTATCGCATATGGGAGGTAAGTCGGTTACAAAATTTGTATATAAACCGACCGTGGTGGTCCGATGAAGATCAGTCAGTCGAGTTCACTGAAAGCAGCAACATGGTAAGTGAAAGAGAATCAAGATTGTTTTAATTGTCCTTTGAATTTGATATTCGAATACGTTCGTTTCTAATTAATCTCAATGAAAAATATAGAAATTCTTGTTTAAGCATTTATAGACTTAGATTATTTTGAAGTGAATATACCATCCAGTCCTTGTGATACATCAAATTGAAAATAATATTGCTTTTGTTGGTTCAACCAATATACTAGATTACCCTTACTCTTAACACGTTAAGCGCCATCATGCAGAAGCAATTATGTTGCTTCTGTGTAAAAAGAACCGAAACCGAATGAAGGACACAGTATCCAAACTAATACAGTCCATTAGGCCAAAATATATTCTATTCGTTTGGATACAAATGGCCTTTAACGTGTTAACATTTGATTGTAAATATTTGTCAGAATAGATCTCATATGTACACTAACACCATAAATAATTCCAGCATTTATTCCATCATCTACCCCCGAAAGCTTAACTTTCATCTATGCCCGAGTAATTTAACCAACGTAGAACACATCGCTTCAAAACTGTTCCCCAGATATCAAATATTCGTTGCCCCCATCAGAAATTGCATGGCCATGTCCAGCCCCATGGAGGCGTTCCAGCTTCCGCGTTCCGGCACAGGTGAGCTCGCCGACGAGCTCCAGGGGTTCATTGACGTCATGCCGATCAACAAAATGCTCACGGTCGTCCTCCAATACGTCGCCGAAGACGCCGAGTTCCAGGAGCTGTTAACCTATCTGCAGTCGAAGGAGTTCAAGCAACTGGTCCTCGACATCGAAGCCATGCCCGAGATCATCAAGTTCATGAACTTCTTCCAGGAGAAGGGTTTGGACATCTACTACCTGGTGAACAAGCTGAACCAGTTCCTTGGTCTGCCAGCCATGAAGGCCCCGAACACATTCCAGGTGTACAAGATCACCGGCGGAATTCGTGGCTTCCTCGACGACATCAAAAAGATCATACCCATTCAGGCGATCAAGGCTCTATACGAGAAGAAGATGGCTAACTCAGCGTTGTTCCGTGAGTGCATAGATAGACTGAGGGGTCCCGACAGCCAGAAGATCGCCGACGCCATCGCCGTCAATCCAAACTTCCTCGCTGTGCTCGATAAGGCTAGGGTGGCCGGCATCGACGTAGCTGCGCTCAAGGAATTCTTGGAATATTTCCTTGGCATCAGGATCCCACTCGGTTTTTAAACTCGACTCGCCGTACCGCGACTCTCGCGCCTGTGAATAACGATTCTGTTCTTTAATACAATAAACTTGCTTACTTGTATCTCGTCTCTTTTCATGTCCCTGATCTTGACGATTTAGAACTGGATATTACGGTTGGAGGGTGAATTGTTGGTCAATAGTTTAGAAGGTGATCTTGTGTTTACATTGTAAGTGGAACTAAATTACATCACTGATAAGGATAGATCACATGCTACAAGGTGTTCATCGTAACGGTTACCATGATTTTTCGAAGACTTCTGATAGTCTGACAGAAAAAGTGTTACGAGTAATAGTAAAATCAGTATTCAGTTAGCAACGAACTGCAATATTAAAAATTGTCAAGAAATGTTCTCTTTAATAACAAAAAGTTAGCTTTATTTCCTTGTATACCATGTAGGTGGCATCCAGACAAATTCAGTAATGTCGCGTAAAGTTGGTTTTCTTTAATAATGTGCTTAGAAAAACATTCTAAAATGTCACAGGATCCTTTATTAACGCGTAAGTCCAGCATACCTAATACAAATATTAAAAGTATTCTAATGGTGCAGAGACAGGAGTGGTAGTTATACATATACAGAACACACGATTATGAGGAATTAAAATATGTATAAATGATCCTTGATCGTCGTACGTAAAATGATATGCGACATAATTCAGGCTATTTCTACTAAGTCTAACATTTGCTATGTTATAAAAATTAATGAGAAACGATTACATATTCAGTATTCATAGAAGGGATAATAATAACCCTAACTTGTTCAAACCTTCATTTATTTTCCATCAATTATTATCAACAATTAGTTAGTCATTAGTTGATTATGTTGCAAATAATGATGAATATAGAAAATACACTTTCCTTCGTAATACTGTATGAATAAATTTTATTTTTTCACGAATGTCCAACACCCGTAGTCTGTTTATCATTATCTTTCATATTGTTTATGTAAGTTCAACACCATTTAATTAAACGTTCTTTCAAGTTTCCACTCCGTATTCACGTGAAACAAATATTCCACGATTTTTTGAACTATTTCTATAGGACTGGCGGCTTCTATAACCATTCTGCTGAGTTTATTTAGGTTGTTTATACGTTGCTTTTCAGAAGAACCCGACACGTTAATAATGTAAATTATTATTATAGAGAGAATGTTTCGTTAATGTGATGACCAGAACTGGTTCGCTTTGTTAAACTCCTGTGCACCGTAGGAACAGATGTATAAAATAAACGCTACCACAGTGGGCATTTCCTAAACGTACCAACGGTAGTATAATTGAAAGCAACGCGTAAAAGTTACGCAACGTTAAAATATTATTCCCACACAGTTTCAGGTTTTAGGTTACCATAATTAATTAGTTTCGTAAAATAGGGTACATTGATACAAACGAATGAGAACATGCTCTACATCATGTTATATAAATGAAAGGAGTACGTGTTATGTTAATTCAATCTACTATTGATTATGCGACCTCGTATATGCCTTTGTATGTATAAAATGATTAAAGAAATCCAAAATGTATTTTGAGATCCTTATTACATTATCTTGGAAGTACACACTTATTTCATCTAGTATGTTAAACTGACTAATATTCAAATATGTCAAACAGTATTTCACATTCAAAGTGAGTGCGTAATTACAGTGCAGCTTCCCACATTCATAGTAATTTATGCGTTTCCTCTATAAAATACTTGCTCAAAGTTTTACATATTTAATATATTCTTGATTTGTCAATCAACAGGATAAGGAAACAAAACCAAAGTACCATCTGCCTCCTCTAAATACCCCAAGATAATTTATGTTTGAGTAGGTTAACAAATTATTAAAAAACACTTCGGTTAATTAATTGATTAAGTCCCCTGGATACAGAAATTACTTGATGTTTTCTTAATATCAACATAGATTATCACTCATCAAGAAATCAGTTCTGATACGTCAACATTAACTTATCTTTTCCAAATAAAAATGATGAGCAAAATTATTCTAGTTTACTTCTATTGTCCTATTTTTGTAGATCATAACACACACGCGTAATGGCGTTATCATCACATAAGGATATTTATCGATTTTAAAGAAAAAAAACTGAATACGATTTACTTGCTTCTTCAGCACCATTATATCTCAAAATAAAACATTTCATAATCAACAGAATCATATCATCGACAATCTGAACCAAATACGGTGAATAGAGTAAAAATATCAGGTGCTTCCCTTTAATAAAGGGCTACGATCGTATGACATAAAGATGAAGTGGTTGGGATAAGATTATGTCTGAAAATTTCAAATATATTTCAACTTTCCCGCTGATAATTCCGTTGAGTATCCAACTCAAGTGAACACTCGAAATCTTATCGTTTCTTCAGGTAGGGTTGGAATCGCAGGTGGTTTCATGTACTTGGTATCGTGCAGGGTATAAAAGAAAGGAAATCAATTCAGAAAAGATCAGTTCCTTACGCAGAAGATACCAAAGTAAGTTCGTAAAACACCAAGCATAGCTACCAATTTTCATACTGATCTTACTTCTAACCATTCGTTCCTGAATTACTTTATATTTTTATTTTCCGAGCACTGATTGGAAACCTATAAAACTTAGGAATTATAATAACTATTGGAAAGTGAGCAATTTTTAAAAAATAGAATTGTATTAAGAGTTCCACGTTCAAGAGTTCTTCCTTTCAGTACAGTAAACCAACTCCATTTCTTGTCGATACGTATCCACCTCAGTGTGTTACTCTTCGTGTGGACAAATATCACTATAATTGCCAAACATAACAATCAACCGCTACTGAATCGAACTTCTTCAAATTTTCCATTTCTTCTGCTACCGCTGAACATTAGACTAATAAAGTGAAATAACATTACAATAAAGAACAAAATGAATCTACATCAGTCGGTTGGTCGCTATTCCTAATCGAAAATATCTTCCGCAGATGAAGTTCCAACTGGCAGCCTTCATCGCGCTGGTTGCGTTCGCAACCGTCAACAGTTACCCGACCCTCGTCAAAGGGTCCCTGAAGGAAGACATCCAGTACTTCACGGACATGATCCCCATGAAAAAGATAATACCGATCGTCATAAGGTACGCCGCAGAAGACGCCGAGTTCCAAGAGCTCCTGGAATACGCGAGAACCGACGACTTCAAAGAAACGGTGAAGGAGATCCAAACTATCCCCGAGTTCCACACGTTCGTCAACTACCTAGAGAAGAACGGCGTGGACGTTGTGAAGGCACTGAACAGAATGAACAGGATCATCGGTGTCCCGGCCTTCCAGCCCATGGATCTTTACAAGCGTACCGGTGGACTGAGGGGTTTGTTCGAGGAGGTCAAGGCACTGGTCTCCTACGATGAAATCATCCACGGCTACGTCTACAAGATGAGGACCTCCGAGGCTTTCGTCGACTTCGTGGCACACCTGAAGTCCCCTGAACACCAGAAGTTCGTCGACACCCTGTACAGTAACGAACGTTTCCTGAAGTACCGCGGAATGCTCGCCGCCAAAGGATTCGACGTCGCTCTGGTCGAAGACATCATCTACACCGTTCTCGGCATCGAATTCCCCTGGATCAAGGTCAACACGCCAGCTCTCTACGCGAACCCAGCGCTTGGCAAGGACATCCGTGATTTCATCGAACTCGTCGACATGCAGAAGATCATGAAGATCGTTATTGACTACATGGACGACGACCAGGTGGTACAAACTTTCGAGTATATACAAAGCGAGGAATTCCACGTGCTGGTTCGTAATGTCGAGGCGATGAAGGAATACCAGGGGCTGGTCCTCTACCTGGAAGACGCCGGGTTGGACATGTTCGATTTCCTCCAGCGGGTGCATCAGCTGTTCGGTATGGAGGACTACGTTCCACCCAAACCCAATGTCGCGTTCTACATCGAGGGTGTCTTCGTTAACAAAGGTGGACTCCAGAGCTTGGTCGACGATATAATCGCCGCGCTGCCATTGGACAAGTTCAAAGCACTGTACCACGAGAAAATGGCCAACTCGCCCGCGTTCAAGACCTTCATAGAGAAACTCCGTTCCCAGGAATTGCAGGAAATCATCAACACGGTTTACGCCTCGCCCATCTTCTTGGAAATGAGAGCCAAGGCTATCGCCGCCGGATTGGACCTCGAACCGTTCAGAAAGTTGATCAAGGTTGTCCTTGGTTTCGAGTTCCCACGAGTTCCATCAGTGTATTAAATTCCCGCTAAAGACACGTGACATATGACTTTGGATACTGATTTAAATTAGCTCGACATTAGTTCTGTAATTAATACCTACTTCTAAAGTTTTTAGTAAATTTGAATCTTCAGAATGTCTATGATTTTTCCTTCTGTTTACTGATCGTCTCACATTACTTTTGCAATAAAAATAATAAAATAGTTTATATAATTCATTATTTCAAACAGTTATTTGTTATCTTAATTTGAAGTTAAATCTTGTCCAGATCTGCTACAAAAATATTTTAACTTCTAAGTCTAGAGAACGTTAAAGCCCAATAATTAGTGCGTCCAATAACACGAACTCATAAATGCAATATAGAATATGCTACCTTTATGTTGCGCGTTCAATATTCAAATCAGATGTTCCCAGAATGATGGACGAGGTGTGTACGTATTGAGACACGTCCAGTCTGAACGGATGAAAGCATGAAAAGATACAAAACAATTTTTCTTGTGCCAGCACGACGTTCCCGGTTCTTACCTCCTTTTTTCCCTCTCCACTGTTCTATCATCTCAGTTCCCACAACCCTTCTTTTACCATTTCTCCCCAGCCTCCCCCGATCGTGTTCACCACCCATTCCTCGTCACCCATCCACATCAATATTTCTTGTTCCGTTCGAGACATATCTCACCGGGATTTCCTGTTTCACTCGATCATTCGGCCTCCGTCTATCGGCGTTCTTGGACCATCTAGTCTCAGATCTACAGTGATTCATCGATGAATGCGACACGAGCAACGGCGTTACTCTCACCACTGGTGGAGTCCCCCTGTGAAACCAATCAAAACAGAACCAAATAGAAGGTGATCGACTTCGAGCAAAAGAACAATTTTATGAGGGGTTGAAAAGCTGTCCGCCTTGCCACAAATGCTCCGAACTGGACCCGAGTACGTCGCACTCATCGAGACATTACTGTACCCACCCATTCCCGACGCTCGTCTTATGACTTTCCATTACGACGCGGCAACAGTGATTTCTGAGGCTTATTAAATTGTAACAATTTTAATTAGATTAGGCGTCCCGGCACCGGTTCGTTTCTCCTCTTTAGTCCCCTTCTTCGTCTCCCCGTACCCTTGACGAGCCACTCGTCCCTCACCATCCCAAAGCCCCAGAGCAGCTACGGAAGACGCGTCGGTTAAGACACCCCTCCGGCTCCTTTTAAAAGTTAGCGGCACGTGCTCGAACGCCGTCCTCTTTTATTTATTGAATGGCTACACGAGCACTACCCTGGCCCATTCGACGCACACGGCGCCCTTTTGCTTTCTCGTTTGATCGGCGAAACTTCCGACGCGTTAACGAACCCGCCCTCGGTCCCCGATGGTCGGAATTGATCACTCGTTCGAGGTACTAGCGGAATCGCAGACGGTTCACGGTTAAGACTGCGCGTGTGCAACGGTGAAATGGCGTTTCCAAGTATGAAATATATTTCTAAATAAGATTTAAGATGTTCACTGCCACAGATTTTATTATTGTGACAATATCATAATACATTTGTTTCCGTCTTTGTTATTAACGATGAGTATATATGCATTGACTGAAAGAGTTATTACTTTCATTATTATTTTACTAGTAATTGTATTCACGAAATGTTAAATGTTCCTGTTTGGAAATTGAATGTTTCTTTGTGTAATTCAATGGCTCCGGTCATAGGTGACCACCATGGCAGTCAGTGTGTAAACAAATGATTTATAAATTTAAATTTTATTACAATAGACGAGATCTTGTTTGTGACTAGTGTGTAAGTTTATTTACCGTTATTTTTCTCATGCGGAAATACTGGCGCAAAGACAAAAGAAAATTGTGTGTCATTCCAGAATAAATCCTGAAAATCTCTGCTTTCTCTTCACGTTTCTCATATTTATATTTCTGTGAAGTGTGCCGTTTGGAATTTTTAGATGAAAGGAGTAACTGGCAAACCGTCTGACAATAGTGTGGCGCGGTTGCTATCATATAGGCGTCGACGACGTGAACGTGATAAGATAAAGGTGTGTACACAGCTATAATAAAAAATTAAGTCAATCCGACTATGCGTTTATATAATATCATGTCTGATATATATATATGTATATCATAAACCACTATGATTTTTTTCAATAAAGGGATGAAAACATTCACATGCCATTTCAAATTAAGATCATCAAGAGTTCAGAGGTCTAAGAAAATTTAATCCGATTTAAATTTACGTAATAGTTTAACTCATAGAAGTTATAATCGCGATGGAATCGTCACTCGTCACATAAAACTCAAAAATTCCTTTATCGATGATAATAAAGTAATTTACTGTACTCAGGATAGAGGTCACCACGCAGGTGTTTATCAAAGCGCTCTCACCTCGCGGACCGTAAACCGATTATGATTTAACGAAGGCTGCCGCGTCCACCGTTATTTCGTAGTTCTTTCATTAAAATTTTATCTTTACATGCCAACGGCTTCGTGCGACGATCAAAATTCCATTAAAATTTTATCTTAACACGAGCAAAGCATGTGCCGGCCATCGAAATTTCTATGACGTTACATTCGCCCAAAGGTTGTATTCGTTAATCATCGCACTACCAATTTCAAAGTGAAGCATACGATGATGACAAGTAAAGCGTACATTCAAGATTCTCGCTATCCAAAGATCGTTAAAATCATACAATCTGGAACGGAAGCAATTGAACCAATTAGTAAACGAATTTTCGTGTCTTGTACAATATACAGAGAGATATAATTATAAAATAAATTGTATTACAAAAAGGAAAATGAAAGTTTAAATACATTTTCATTTTTCATAAAATAATGTACGTATTGAAAGACATGTGAATTATTAGGTCATCCCATATGTAATGAGGTTTTTGTAATAATTAGTGATTAATCTAGTTTCAACTTCTGCGTCAATTCTTCAAATACTTACTAACAAATTTTTCTTAGTAGAATGTCTTCACGTAGTCATGTAGCGTTCCTCATTATTAGAGTACTTATTAAGAATTACCTGAAATTTCTTGGACCTTCTTCAATAGTGGTTTGCTTTAAAATTTCACTGTAAACCTAGAAAATTTTTTCACTGCTGCAGTGGTTTTAATTTCTTTCTTATACTCTTGTAATGTAACATATCAATTGAAAAGTGAATTTTTGACAAAATATTGTCTGAATCACGTTGAATTTCATTGTTTTAAATTTAGGTCTGCGAAAAGCCGCAGAACTTATATGGGAAGACCCAGTAATAAATACCTTAACAGACCTGAAATAATAACAAATTAAAACACAAATTAAAAAAAATTCTAGACGTATTTCTATATCGAAGTTTTCTAATTGATAAGTTCGATATGATATGAAACAATAATTCCGCCCAATCTTCGCGCGTTAACGCTGTAATAGTTATATCTATGATACTTCACAGTAGATAAAATATGATAATATTTATATGCGCCCAAAAAACGTCACAAAATTTTGTGTAGAATGATACAAGTCTGGTCAACGATACGATGTATGATAAATCGATATCAATAATCGTACCACAATCTATTAATGATAGTCAAACAGTATATAAAATGCCGCGACAAAATATTCAGCATCTATTTCTTTCGAGAATTAACAGAGTATCTACCGTTCACAAGGTGAGTGCCAAAAGGGTGTGCAAATATATTTACCTCTAAACGACTCATAAGCTCGTCAGTGAATTGTATCTTTTTTAAACGAATTCGCAATACTTTACTTCCATTCCATATTTTACGATTCTTCGTGCAATTACTATAAAATTACGAGTAGCCATAAACAATTAAATCTACCATTGTAGTACTAGACTTGTCTTAACCGCTTAATCACTTCTAATTCCCAAATTCCTAAACATTTCTGATCATTTCTATTCCTCAATGTTTAATTATTTCTACTTCTCAATTTCTATTCATTCCTACTCCTCAATTTCTAATAATTTCTAATCCTTAATTTTCCAACCTTTTTCAGATGAAGTACGCAGCGACAGTCTTAGCCGTTCTGGCAATTGCCAGTTCCCTGAACGCCTACAAGCTACCAGCCACAGGCTCGGGCGAGCTCGCCAAGGAACTGCAGGACTTCTTCGACCTGATACCCATTAAAGAAACAGTTGACCTCGTCAAAGCCTACATGGTTAAAGACGAAGAGTTCCGTAACACCATGAGGATCCTGCAATCCAACGAGTTGAAAGCGTTCATGATGGACGTTGAGGCAGCTCCCGAGTTGGCCGAGGTCTTGTATTATATGCAGAAAGCTGGTCTCGACGTCTACTATCTGACGGGATATTTCAACCAAGCTATTGAGAACATTATAGACGATCTACCACCTACCGACAATGTGCGCCCGATCATCGGTGGTCTCAAAGGTTTCGCGGATGATTTCGCAAAACTTGTGGACTACGAAAAAGCTCAGGCTCTGCTGAGCGAAAAAATGGCGGTTGGAGGTGCCTTCGCTGAATACGTCGCATTATGCACGAGCAAACGGTTCTTGACTTTCTATTTCAACGCCCCCATGAACCTCCATTTCCAAATTATGCTGAGACAGGGCGAGGATTTTAATATTAACAACTACGTATTCGAACAACTCTTCCCGATGCTTGTTGTCATCAGAGCTGGTTTAGCTTCGTACAGTGGAGAGTGTATTAATTGTTTTTCGGGGTTAGAGTTGTAAGTTAATAAGATTTCTTTATAATTTAATGGCATTGAAACGTATTATGTCTTTTCCATTTGAGAGGTGGTCGAATGTATGCGAAATGCTGGAGTAAAAAACAAGCTGTACATTGATTTTTGTGAATAAAGTGGTAATCAATTGGGTTACAGATAAATTGTCTAACTTTTTATTGTACATATAAGAGCTGGAAGACACTGGTGAAGCTGCTGTTGAGTAGTTATATCGAATACAATAGAAAGCATAGCTTTAGATAATTGGTACTATCGGGTTTTATAAAAACTGAGTGGTAGTTGGAATGATTATTATCTTATCTGATAGTGGAACCTAACATTACCTTGCCAAGTAACAAAATAAAACTAGAAAATCAAACCAATTAAAATGCTACGCTTGTAATTAAAACTGCAGTTTCTTCAAATCATATACAGAATCTACTACAATGACACTATCAAGAAATGGTGACAAAAAACGTCATAAGAAATTTCTGGTGCTCATAATGTATACAAACATTATCCTTATCGACTATGATCTAATAAATTATCTTTATCATTTACGCAATGACAGAGGAAAGCATAAGTAACGTGACATTATCGAACGAAATCATTCCCCCCTGTAACCTAATCACAATCTTTCGAGTACTGTCTCCGTATCGTCGCGATTATCGCTGTGCTACTCCCCTTTCTTCAATCTTGCCGTACATCCACTGCTACTGTCCAATGGGAAATATTAATGAAAATATTACAGCGTGTGAGTTGTGAACAATTCGAAGTTCACTTTGAACTACGCATAAAGAATTCCGTTGAGGATCGACCGTTGATTTCAAATCATCCGTGTCTGTTCGCTGAGAAGAACTAAATTTTCGTAATTACGGTCAGTCATAATTCATCTCCAAAATCTAATAATCTTTGTCAAATAATTTAATAAAAACTATAATTTGATCTTTTTCTGCACTACACCGCCCCAATGCAACGATAATTAGAAAGTCAGTGCTTTATTTATAATCAGGTACAGTTGGTGGAAAAATGAAATAGGAAGTTTCTATGTGAGTAAAGTCTGCGTGAGGTAAACGTGGAGATCCTTCAGCAGTTCGTTCGCAAGCGTGACTTCCAGGCCGCTTTCCTGCGCCCAGAAGTAATGATGGTGCATTACTTTGTTCTCTTGGAGAGCGTTGCATAGCTCGTCGAAGTCGTTCGATTTGAGCATCAACAGGAATCTACGGAAGCTGCCCGAATATTTCACCTTCTGTCGCAGCAGCTCGTGGAGTTCGTCCAACGGTGCAGTGTGCAAAATCTTGTCCAGCATTACTGTCAGACCGCCGGCCGCTATGTTTGTGTCGCTCCGGATGAATCGTGGCGCCATTTTCCAGGAAGTTCGAATCTGTTCGGACCAATTATGGATGTCGAGGCCGTTCTGCCACAGGAACAGAATTATACGACTCATTTGCGGTATGTTCTGCATTTCTCGCAGTAAAAATCGTTTGTGATCGTTGATGAAGCTGACGGTCTCGCCGATTTGTTTGTCGTACTTCATGTAGCTCTTTATGATTTCGAAGACTTCGTCGTGTGGCACGAACGCTAGGACATCGCGGAGATCCTCTTCTAGGGAACTATGATCTTTCAGGGGCGGCTGATTCAGCAGATCGGGATCGTCGATACGATGGCTGAGTCTGTACGCTAGAAATCCAATGAAGGCAACCGAAGCGAAAGCAACCACGCTCATGATCATTATTTGCGGGTTCATTGCTGATCGGTGATGTTTTACGGATTGATTTTAGGGAGAAATCATTGTAAACAGAAAAGATAACTTCTTTTGCGTTTTGATAAGATTCTCTGGTGATATGCTTTAGTAACTGTTGCCTGTTGACCTGTAATGAAAAAATAACAGTAAATTGGATGCACATTGTGTTGCATATGTAATTACGTTTAAAGTCTGAATCATAGCATGTTTCAGAACTATTCTTTGAATAATTGTTTTTATAATAATTCATTGCTAGGAAGGAAGTTTAATATCATTTAAAGCCTATCGAAATTCAATGGACCTTGGTATCAAGATCTCATTCATGAAAACGGGATTCCATGTGCAACCACTTTGGTGACAAAAAATAAAAAGATTATACGAACGAAGATTCGAAGGTTATCAGATTAAGGGACGACGTGAACTTCTGAAGCCATTGTACGTTGATAAACATTTCCGTAGCGAAATGCCTTTTAGAACACTAATCGAAGTCCCGTGGCAGGTTATGGCGGTCGGAAGTACTTATCACAGGAGAAACATGTCACAAGAACACGATGTAACGAATCTGTAGATTATTAAAAAGGATAGACACTCCGATGATTTTGGATCTGCTTCATCTAGAGGTGGCGACTCTCAGGCCATTTAGATCCTTAATTACATTTTGATATTCGCGAAGAACGCGAAGTCACCGCGCAACGAGACATTTCCGAACAACACTATATTCACATTTATCAGGGAATAAAAAAGAAGAATTCACAAAGTGCGAAGAATCAGTTATAACCACGTGAAAGCTATAGTGGTGTTTCTAAATTTCTGATTTCACCAACAATCATTTGCATAGAGTATTCATTATTTTCGGCAAGATACGTTACAGACAGTTATTGTTTCATTAATCGCGTGCAAATAATTACTAGGATATGATAAATGAAATCAAATGCTGTACAGAAAAGAAGAAAACGGTGGTATGATGAGATTGGAGATACACGGACCCACATGGAAGATCGCGATTAGCATTCATAGTAGAAGAAGCGTGATCCTGTGTGATTAGTTCATGTACGTTACTGATACTTCTATCAGAAAATGCAATCGACGTAATGGTGAGCCTCTTCTTCGCGTCAAATAAGCAATGTGTTTGTATACACGATACATTTCGAAGTTTGATTAGCCGTTGCTTCAATAAAATTGTCATTGTTACGAAAATAACAATATCTATACGTGATTAATGTTTTAAAAGATTAATGATATAAAACTTGCGATACAGTTAATTATTGATTATCAGATAGTACCACTAGAACAACCAAAGAAGCCTTAATTATTCGACGGACAGTGATAAATTTTGACATTCACGGCGTTACTTACGTGTCCTTAACTTAAACTAAAAAGAAGATATATCTACTAACAAATCTAGCTATTAACTTTCGAATTGTTTACAGAATCATTTCGCAATGAAAAATACAACCTCACAATGTGGGAAGAGAATGTACGGGCGTGGAACGGTGTCAGTAAAACAGACTGTGTCACATGCTGATCGAAAACTAATCCCAATAGTTATTTTCCTTGAATTGAAGATTCTATTATTTTATTTTCCTATTACTAAGCAAGTAAATCTCAAGTTGAAATGCGTGTTCTATACTCGATATAGATTCAAGGAGAAACATAAAATTCTTGGAAAAGAGGAAATCAGTAGTTCTTGAAAAAAATTACACACAATTTACACTGCATACATTTAATTTTATTTCATAAAGTCATATAACAGCTTGCTAATAGTTAAACTCAAAATGAAATGAAGAAAAACTATATTTGTATGAATACACGCATTAGAAATCTTAAGAACTTATGTTGTTGGAGATAAGGACATGAGAGCCAAGCAGAATCTCATAGCCCATGACGAAGTCTTGTCCCTTGATACCAGCCTTGATGGCCTCCGCTTTCAAATTCAGCAAGTGTTTGTTGGTTGCAATAGCGAGGTGCAATTTCCCCTGTCTACTTAGTTCCGCAACAAAATCACGGAATACTTTGGACTCTATCATTTTCTTTTCTATCGCAGCTTGTATCTTCGGGAACGGTACCACGGCCCACAGATCTGTCGTGAGACCGTTCATTCCACCACCGGTGATCTTGCTGAGGGTAGACGAAGGCTTGATGGGACTGAGACCGAGGGATTTGTTCAGTGCGTTCACTATGCGGTAGATGTCAACACCAGCCTTCTGAATGTATTGCATCAGTGCAATGGCATCGGGTATCTCCTCTACTTCTTTGACTAACGCTTTTGATTCCGCAGAGGTGACCGCCTTGTTAATGTGCTGAATCTCCTTGTCCTGAGCAATGTACAATTTTACGATCTGAAGAACGTCTGCGACTGGGACCAAGTCTACCAACTCTTGCAGCTCCTTGGCGAGCGCACCGGAACCGGAGGCTGGGACTTTCAGAGCGTCCAGAGGGCTGAGCACAGCCAGTACGGCCAAAGCTACAACTGCGAACTTCATCTGCAAGGAAATGGAAAAACAATCTACTAACCAAGTTAATGCATAATTTCTCTGACTGATGCGATGAGTAATAATCTCATGCCTTGAGGTAATAACATTTAAATTAAAAATGTGCAAGTCGAAGCTTCTTGGATACAATGGTAAGTATTGGTATGATAGTCTATGTCTCTTCTTCTTTGAAAAAAAATACAGTAGGAAGCGGGATAATAAGAAGAGTTATTAGTGTAAAGAAAGGAGAATTAAAATGGCGTTACAGTAACGCAAACCGTATTACATTCGTATATTTCTTCTAAACGTATGCTAAACAATATCAGCTGCGTGTATTTGATAACTTTACGAATTTGATATTTATATTGTAAACATTCTTTTATGATTAATGGTAGTATTATTACAATAAATTGGTTCGGAGACTCACCTTGCGTGCTCTTTACTTCCTTCGTTGGTTCTCGAAGAAACTTAATGTCAGATTTGTTAGCGATACGATTTATATATCGCTCAGAATCAATCCGATCGACACGATTAGGTTTCTTTTTGAAGCGCTTTGATAACTTTATATCACTATTTTAGATTGAAAACTCTTTTCCGTAAATTACGAAGCAATATCGGCTGTTATACCTACTTTAATTGCTGAGTGAAGTGTCAGTAGAAACTGATAACAACGATTCCACGGTTGTACGTAGTATTTTTCCGAATATACGATCTCAGTACAGCATTAAGGCTGCGCTCTTCATACCAGCTTACCTCGCAGACTGTTTTCGGCGAAAAAGAAGTTTCTACAGTTAGTCTCATAACATTGCATAGTCGACGAGCTTCTCATAATGCATCAAAGATGCACACGTTACCGAGAGAAGTTCTTCCATGCGCTGTAACCTGTTTTAGGGCTTCGTTAAGCAGATATAAAGTGTAGCTTACAAAAGGAAATGTTTATCGCCACATGACGGCTCAGCGGGTTTATAAAACTTTACCACTTTAAGTCGGATCTCTCATTTCTCCGGGTTTTAACCGCTGAAACTTTTTCGCGAATGTTAGCGCAGTGACTTATGTAACTTGTAAACATGTTTTCCGCTACGGTTTATTATCTATATATATATATATATCTGTTTACAACGACAGGCTATGTGGAAATGTTTATCAGTGCCTCTTTAAATTATATCTTAACAGGATGTTGAGATTTTTAAACGAAAGAAAATAAATTTTCTCCAACCTATCAAACGAACATCCACGCTCCTAATGGAGGGGGGGGGGCATTCCCCAAAAGGGAAAGGCGTTCCCGATCAGGATTCATCAACGAAATCCGGGATCACGTCCAGGACGTTTTATTGAACCCGTGGGCTGATCCATTCAGAGGGGAGAAATTTAAGACACGCCGAAGGAATTAATTCCGTTGAAGATGTCACGGGGCCATATGACTGAGACAGCCAGGCGCGAGATTCACTGGGCGAAGTGGCGCGACGCGGGAAAGAGGAGACCAGCCAGAACCTGAGGGGGGCTGGTGAAGAAGGAACAGGGGCTCCGGGACTGTGCTAAGGCAAGCGGCTCGCTGTGTCTGCGGCAAACAATTCCAATTAACTTGCTGGAATTGGAATAGGAGGTCCCCGTCGACGGTCTCTCGACTGGTGTCTCCTGGATGCTCGGACCCGCCACAGCCGAGTAGGGGGACGCTCGCTCGCGCGCGCGCACGTTCCTTCCATCGTCTTTCATTCCCATCCCCCACCTAACCGTTCTTCATTTTCGTTCCACGACCCGGAAAAATTAACTGTCCATCCGGCTGAACTTGACGAAAAATATTCTCGAGTTGATGAAATCGACGGAACGGCGACAATAGATATGAAGAAGAGACGGGAGGAAAACGTAAGAAAGTTAAGGGGTTTGGCATTTACATATCAATCGAGCATTGTCCTTTTGCCACCCGTTGTCTACCTGAACACGTTCGAAAACGAGTGCACCCGGTGGTACTCTTGTGTGCATTCTCTGTCCCGTTGTGCGAGTCTCTGTTTCTCTGTCGACGAAAGACGGAAGTTCTTTCCAAACACGTGGAAGGCGTAATTCAATCAGGACCCACTGGGGGGTGGGGAATGTTTGTAAAGTGCCGTTTCTTTGCGCGTGTAGAGAGGAAGTGAATGGCGGCCGGTCGGACCATTATCCGCGGCATAATGCTCGTCATCGTCGGCCGTTGCGGCGAACAGTGATAAAGGAAAGGGAACTGGGGACAGAGAGAGAGAAAGAGATTTGGAGGAACAGAGAGAGAGAGAGCGAGGGATGGAGACATAAAGCTCGGGGTTGGGACGTCGCCCTAGACAATGCGGTCCTTGAGCTGCTCAGATATTGAAGACGCCCGAAAGCGGTGTGTACCAATCCCAATGTGTACCCAGCGTCTAGCCCGCTACTCTACATTATTAAATCTCGCTGCTCGTTCGTGAACTAACCACGCGGGACGTTCCAACCGGCGATTTTTTGTCACCTCGGACCAAGGCCTGACGTGCAATGGACAATGCAACATGGCAGCGACTCAAGTAAGTGTCTTGTAACATTATTAAATGGAGGATCGTCCATGAAACACACTTTGTAGTAAACACAATGCAATTGAAGGAAAGATTTCGAAGGCACGACTTTCGTTGATGAAATTCAGATGGATTAATAGAATAAGTCCTGCGATCAATCTTGATTCATAGGGTTTTTTTGCGTGGGATCTTTTGAATTTAGGTAAATTTCTACAGACTTCGAAAGAGAATTGTGACCTAACTCAGAACTGCCAGAATAATAATTTTGTCTTCAGTTACACCCTATCACCAGCTCACTGACGCGTTAAAAATTAATTCTGACAACGACTGCAAACAGAATCCCCTTACGAATTCTCTAAACGTCAATTCTCTGAAACAATTAAAAACAACTTCAGCGTACATGCACCGCGCTCGCAGCGTTGCCTACTATCGAACAAACCCGATAACAAGAATAAAGGCTTAACGCGTCGCGCGGCTAGGCCATCGCGTCGGCCATAATCCCGGACTAGGGTCCCCAATTAGCACACGGGGAAACAAACATATTCCGTCTCCCATTTACGGACGGCATAATGCAACCTGTTTCACGCGGAGCCACGTATAATTACAGACTAATGCTCCACGGCGCGGCGGCGGTCTGCAATCGTGGCAGGTGGCACATAATCGCGGCCTCGTAACCCTCGAATGAGTTAATCCTCGCGAGGAGGCGTCGTTTATCCGCGACGACGACGGCGACGACGCCTGGAAGCGTCGTTGTCGTCGGTTGAAATGGCCAAGGCAAAGAGGATGGTATTTGAAAGTGGCCACCGGGCGACGGCTGATCCGCTTACAGGGTTTAAAAGTCAAGTGTCTAAAGACCGTGATACATCCCATCTAGCCAGCTGGAGGACAGGGTGAGGTCACCGTTAAGAGTTTCTACGTGCACAATAGAAAAAAGAGATAGCTACTCTATATATACCCCTGGCTGGGGCACATTGTAACAAAAGTTCAGATTTGTTTCAGATGATCATGCATGTCTAAGTATCAAAGATTTTGTCACATATTTACACTCAATAAGTTGACCAAAATTGTGAAAACTTTTTTTGTTACAATCTGCCCCGGTCTCCCCTACCTGGAATTTTAGACATTTTCGCAAGCAGGACATCGTGTATTGTACGAGGAGGGAGGACACGATAGCACATGTGTCCGTGGAACAATATCGCGATGATCCGGCGATGTGTGCGTGTGGTGTTCGGCGCGGATAGGTTATTGCGTGAAACGCAAACTCCTCCTCTCGGTTTAACTTATCGGACGCGCGACTTGTTGCGCGTATGTGATCGCCCGCGAACTATTGTTTCCGAGGCGCGGCAGCGTCCTGCAACCGTATCAATTAATAATCGGAACGTGACGATAAAGTCCGATCACGATCCGTGAAATTCTCGACGAATATCGTCGAAGTCAGATAACCCGGTTCTGGCTACTTGGACGGCACAAATTCGCGCGAAAAATATGGTTAGGGATAGCGTTTTTTGTAGTTTCTGTGAATATTATTAATGAATCAGTGATATTGAGATGTTGCGATTTGTACGATGATAATATTGATATTCTAACTATGGATTGAAAGAAAAATGTGAGAACAATAACGTCTAAAATATGTTTTTATTACCATTTGGAATAATGTCTGTATGACATGTGCGATAAGTTGGATCGATGATGATAAAATTGTACTTTTGTTGGGGATTAGAAAATTCGAAGACGAGGGCGAAATTTAATTGATGAAAGGTGTTGCATAATGAGTGGCACTTTAGTCACGGTATATTCGGCAAGTGAATTATGCAGAAATTAACTACCAGGTAATTTACATTGATATTTAATACTTGTAATTAGTGCCATTATTCTTAGAACAATAATCAATTAGCAAGATATCTTAAAAAGATGATCCGTCAAAATTAATCGAGGAAAAGGTCCTAGTAATTACGATTAAATAACCAAAACGTATTCGCCGAGAATATTATCCATTCGATTGACCGTACTATTAATCTCAAATATTCTACAACTTCTGCAAGAAACTTACAGAAATCGTATATTTCAGCGCAACTACCCTATTACTCGGCAACTTACGAGGGAAAAGTTCGTTTCCAACTGAACGTCCAAACGAAATCATCGTGACCCGCGTGATTACCGGGACAACTTCAAAGTCGACAGCCTGGCTGACAGAATCGGGCGCAATCTTCCCGGGCCTTAATCAGTCCGAATTGTACTCAATTAAGCACTTTGCCGTGTTCGGGAAGGCAAACTAGAAGCTCCGGAGCGACCGACCGAGACCTCAGGTCGATGTGAGAGACGCTTAAAGCACCGATTCGAGGACACCAACGACACCTGTATTGGTGACGGTGTGAGAGGGGATGGCGTGGGGTCCTAAGAAGTGGCCAGGGTGGGTGGTGCGGGTGAACGACGGCGGAACGAATCGCATCCGCGGATAGGACACCGATGTTGTTAGGATGCTGGGCGTAGATCCGTAATCAGCAGTACTCGGCTGGCTCTCCGATTCGAGTCGAATTCACAGCCGGATCACGTCGTTATTTAACGAAATTATGTCATTAACCGGCAGGATGCAGAGGCTCGGTGGACGGAGATCGCGATATGAAATTAAACTCGGCCATTCTTTTTGCTGATTAACGAGCGCTGGATGCGCGATTGCGTTGACGGTTTGCGTTAGTGCGTTCTTGTTCGTCGGGAATTTTCGATCAATTGATCATCTACTCACGTCGTGGATTTGTATATTTGGAGATTCGAAGTGTATGCTCTTTGTGAGCAGATGTCATATTGGTATGCGGAATGAGGTGATGAAAGATTGATGGAAAGGATGACGAGTGATGTTAATTTTAACTAGGAGATATACAGAGTGTTTTGGATATGGTGATACGACCCGAGAAGTGATTTTACATGGAACAATAAGTCCAAAATGTAGAA